CACACTACATATATCCTGCTTTTGTGGGGGTGGGTAGGGGTGTAAATTTTTGTTTTGTTTTTTCCCCATAGGTTTTTAACGTTCTAAAAGCTCTTTATTCCAAAGATGCTAGTCAGTGTATTCAGCAGGTGTAATGTATTGTAAGTTGCTTCAGAAGTATTGCAAGTATTACGTACAACAATAAAACAGTGCATTGACATAAAAAAGGAAATGTACTTTTGGTACTTAAGTACTTTTAAAAGCAAGTACTTCTGTACTTTTACTTAAGTAAAAATCTGTCTTTACAACTTTTACTTGTAATGGAGTAATATTTGACCAGCGGGATCTGTACTTTCACTCAAGTAATGGAGTACTTTGTCCGCCTCTGCGTCTATGAGATCAAATAGTTCAACTATTTGGATGTGTCTAGACCACGTCTAGCGAAACGTTCTCACCTCCCCACGACATTGCAGGGTCAACAGTTCGTAGTCATAATGATATCTTGTTTAATCCCGAGCGGTTCTCTTAGAAATAATAGAATCACGGACTCAAACATGTGCTCCTAAGCTGTAAAAATGTTCTGCTGAATCAATGGAAACGCCAGATTGTTCCTCTCATGTTGTCTTCTCTGTCTTGATGGCCCTTCAGGGTGCAGTCTCAGGTTGATGAGGTCATTGACGTCATGCAGGAGAACATCTCCAAAGTGATTGAACGTGGGGAACGGCTGGATGAGCTGCAGGATAAATCTGGTAAGATGGACATGGACAGATCACTATGAATTCTTAAGCACTTTGTGATTTGGTTGGATTCATGGGAATCAAGTCAAAAATGATTCATGAAACACAGTTTTTGAATAGCAGATCTTCTGCAATTAAAACCCTGTTCAAGTTCTTGTTTGGGGTGGAAAATATGCAATATTTTAAATGTTAGCTTCCCAAATTTTGCAGTTTAGTTTAATTCACTTGTGCATTGCAGATCGTCCTCTTTTAAAGCATATGTGAATTCAGGGCCGACGCTTATATCAGCGCATGAATAGATTGGGAAGCCGTGTGTAAACAAACTGTTATTCCAAATCAGTCATATTCAGTAGCTCACTACTCTTGACCAAACTTGATCCGGAGAACTGTGGGAAAGTGTTTTGAATTCCAATGGCATATGAATAAACCCTTCTGTTAGTTTCATATTTTGTTATTCGGGTATAACAAAATATGAAACTAACAGAAGGGTTTATTCATATGCCATTGGAATTCAAAACACTTTCCCACAGTTCTCCGGATCAAGTTTGGTCGAGTAGTGAGCCACTACCTCTAGTGTGTCGTGTCCCATTTCGGTTATTCCGTACATTTGGGTATTGCCAGGAGACATATGGCTAGGTTAGTGGGTAAAATGTCCCGTGTCCTACACGGTGGTGTGGTATTTTTCTCATTTTAGGCCCAGATGTGAAAAATAAACCACCTGTGTGCAAAAGACTTTTGCAGATGGTTTTGTTCAAGCTGATCTGAGATTAGTTACTAGTCTCATAACATTAAGTAGTGGAGTCAAATGAGCTAAAGCAGGTTCAAGCATAGCGTCCCTGTGACAAAGCCACATGTCTGGTCCTGTTTTTGTATATAGCTGTATACGAAAGCACATTTTGAGACCCGCATGGTGATGGTGAGGCTGAGGTATGTGTTCAGAATTGTGAAGTTCGAGCAGATCTTGTAGTTTTACATTGATTCAATTTTAAAGAGGAAAATAAAAGAGGTGACGTGTGCAATTTCCACACCTCGGAGTTACGATGATTTCCATTGGTTGAGCCAGTGTGACTGTTTTAAGCAGCTCGGAATGCTCAAATACCTTAATACACACATAATATTACTTAAATATGAAATTAGTGGTATGAAGTGTCAAGCAGTGTTGTTATTAACCAAAACTAAAATCTTAACTATTAAAAATCATTGTCATTAATTTAAATAATGCTGAAAAAATTTAATATAAGCATTAGATGAAGTGTAAATAAGTTGGTGTAAACAAAATAAATAAATAAATCTAATATAAATATTTAAAATAAAGAAAAAACATAAAATGACTAAAACTAAAATTTAAAATATTAATTGATCCTATAATAATATATAAATTATACTAAAATAAAACTGGACTGGCATCAAACTGGAAAAGAAAACCCTGTTTGCTGCTGAACTTCTCAAACATAGTCAGTTGTTACAGAAATGTTACATTATGTTGTTACAGTTGTTAAATTACATGTCAGTATGAAAATCAAAACAGGACTCTTCTGAGATCAAATACATTTTCTTTGTTTACTACACTTACCTACAGTACATTTTGCTTCCTTGCTGAAACTGCAATGCATTGTTTGCAACTAGAGAACAAGTAGCTTTATGGTGCAGCATCTGGAAGACATTGTCACTCACTAAAGAGAATTTATTCCACATGTTGACTGCAATACTGTCTTTGTACTAAAGGTGAATCTATAGACTGATCCTTAAGACTCATTTCTTGAATTTTTAAGGCTAAATGCAAAGAAACCGTCTGCACCTGTGTTCTTTGTATCTTTCTGGCTGTACACACATTCATCCTTCCTCTATGGTATTGTTGAATGGCAGCTGGTATGATCTCAGCTTTATTGATTCTTGTTCTTGCACTAATGAGGCTGGACGTGTTTTAATTGGTCCCACATGTTGCAGAGCTCTTAACATCCCAAAACAGTATTATGAAATTCAACAAGCATCTCCTGGAGATGGATACAATCCATATAAAACAATCACAGTTGTTTAGGAGTGTATATAGTTATATTATAATTAACATGCATGGAAGACAATCTTATTACTGATCCCCTTTTGTCAAATGACTTTCAGAAAGCCTATCGGACAATGCATCGGCGTTCAGCAGTAGAGCCAAGCATCTTCACAGAAGGATGTGGTGGAGAGACATGAAGGTGAGCCTCCATCCTGATGGTCTACCAATCCAAAGGGCCTTTGTTGTTAAGGTTGTTGTGTAAAATCACTGTATGGTGATTTACATCTACAAAACCTCACCGTGGCATTTTCCTAAACATCCGTGTTTCACAGCGCATGTGGAAATTTGCCTGATTCTTGATGTGATCGTGGGGATAATGTTCTTGTTAATGATTTTCAGTTTTGTTCAATTTTTGTTTTTTAATATCTGAAGAATATGCAAAAGTATGGTATTTGAGGTAAAAGGTGTCCCTACCGTTAGGGCTAAAGCTGCAATAAGTGACATGATAATAAATGGCAAGTATGACGTTTCAGTTTGTTGACTTAACATGGTCAGATTCAAATATTCAATGTCATTTATTAAATGGGGTCTCCACCTCAGAGATAATCACCGTACTTATAATGAAACACCATATTTAAAAACATACTAATCATATCATATAATACAATATAATTATTGTTACAACAGTAAAGCCATATGAAATATTTACTCAATCTGTATTGAGTAAAAGTATATTAAATAATTTTATCAAAATAATTATACAAAATTTACACATAATTTCCTAAAGTGATCACATCATGAAAAAGTGTGAACTTTAACACAAAATGTTAATTATTTTTAGATGATATACAATTATTATATAATATAATATACTATGTTAATTGTTAAATTATGCAAAACATAATGCAAAGCATTCCCCCCCTCCACCACCTCATACATTTACAGTGGGTATAGAAAAGAATCACCCATTTTGTTGCTTTGCAGTCTGAAATGAAGACGGACACAGTTTTTGTTTTATCCAGCTGTATACGAAAGCTCTTTTCATGCTAAGCTGATAAAAATGATCACAGCTGATAGTCAAATGGTTTTGTGTGCCATTGAGAAGGTCATTAGCTACACCTGATTGAGTTTACAAGTCATTTTTAGGAGGGGGTGATTCTTTTTTTTCCCCTGACATGTTGGTGTTATATCTTTCACTTGGATGTTATAAGTTGCACTGAGTAAATACAGCTGGATAAAACAAAAACTGTGTCCGTCTTCATTTCAGGCTGCAAAGCAACAAAATGTGATTATTTTAAAGGGGGTGATTATTGTCTATACCCACTGTATATGATATTTTGTGATCCGTATATGTAACAAAATGTGTTGCTCCATCAATGTTCAATAATAAGATATAATATATAATATAAAATATATGTATTTTCTGAAATCATACACTGTGGAGGCTCATTTTCCTTGAGGTGTGCCTTTAGCCACATTGTACACTATATAATTTTTGTCTTTGGTTTTCTCTTCTATCCCCAGATGAAAATGATTATAGCGCTGGTGGTTGTCATCCTTCTCCTCATCATAATCAGTAAGTCCACTCCAGACACACTTCTTCATGCTTACAAGAATTGAACCATATAAAGGGGGAAAATTTAGAACAGTCAGTACAATCCATTTGGTTTCATGCTGAGGCTGGGGACATTTGATTTTCTCCTGATTTTGCAACCTTCTTTTCCCTCTTTTTTGTTTTGTTTTGTTTTTGCAGTTCCTGTGATCTTGCGGTATCGCTAGTCTCTGGCAGGGAGGTTAGAGGCATGATGTACTCTTCCTCCCTCCTCTCCCTCGTCTTTCTGCTGTCATTCCTCCGTACCAGAGGGGGCGCTGCATAGGGTTGGGCTGCCCACTGTATTTGCCTATTTTGGTAGAGTCTGGAAACATAACAAACAGGGGCAGAGTTTACAACGCTGGTGCAGACCAATCTCTTGTATGCGCACAAACACAATGGTTATTTTGTTGTACATGCGTTCAGTAAGACTAAAGAAAATTAAAGATTTACTATACACAATGAAACATGGAGAAAAAAATGTTAGCCCTGCATTCTGGTGGTATTTCGATGTCCTATTTATAGTTAATTAGACGTTAGAGCCGTTCCGCTTACACCATAATACACACGTTTATCAATTAAACTGGATCCATTTCCCACAAAGGTAGGTCTAGAAATACTGTCTTCTCAGGTGGGTGGGGCCAAACGGGAAACCTGATGATGTCACACTGTACCATGGCTGTGATGTCATCATTTGTATAACTCCTGTAAGTTTTAACATGGGCAAAACATTGGGTATAATTCAAGTTAGTCTGAAAGGCAACAAGTAATGTTACTTAATATTTGCTGCTATTACTTGCTGTAATGTTGTTTGCATATTTGGCAACAAAGTTTTAATTGACTGTGGTTAATTGTGTTGAGTTGGTTATTATTTTATATATGAAGGAATTCTTATCGGCATTTTTAACAGTTTATCATGCTTGTAAAATGGATTATGTAAAAATTGTAGTTATCTTCACTGGTCACTGGTGTAATTTTAACAGCTTGTTATAGGTGAGTAATGTAATAGTTGTGTGTGATGATGATTTGGTTGACTGTTGCTGAAGGTGACCTGAACACATCTGTACATTTGGTTTAATCCATATTATTTTACTGATTTTTATTTTTTTTTGGTTTTGTTATATTTATTTGTAAATATCTATTCCCTAAGTCAGTCGGCACTGGCTTTCCATTGGAAGACTGTGAAATAATCTTGCATTTAAAATAAAGCGATTTTAAAGGGCATCTGATCGGATTCATTGCGTTGGAATTGAGGTGTCTTCAGTCCTGGCGTGATATGACAGGATTACAGCAAGAAGCAATATATCAAACAATACAGGACTCGACGATAACAAAAAAAAGAATTTTACTTCAATGCTTTTGTGTTCAGTCTCCCCAAGAAACTTTGCGAATGCATTAGTTTTGCAAACGAACGCAACATTTCGTGGAGGATCAAATACGTTTGCGAGAGAACGCAAAGTTTCTCAAGAGGAACGCAAACGTTTTGCGAGAGAACGCAAAGTTTCTCAGGAGAGCCCAGTCCTTTTGAGAGAAGACACAAAAGTTTTGTGAGAGAACGCAAAGGCATTGAAATATTTATGGGCTCCATAGAAAGGCCTTTAACTCGTGTTTTCATGACATGGGTGATGCTTTAGAACATGTTCAGTGGCTTCATACACTATATGGTTCATAATTCCCTTTTTATATATCTCCAAATATTTACAGCGTAACTCTGTTGACCTGAACTATACTTACCAAGGTAAATGGCTTGTCATCGTCATTGTCATTTAAAACATTAGCATTTATGGTTTATTATTAAAGGCTTTTTATAGCACGATGTATTGTATTTCCCTCTTTAAAGTTGAAAATCAACTCCTTGGTCAGCCCTTAAAGTTCTGATTCAAACACCAGCTCCTGAGTCTTACTCCTTTAGATCTGTTTTCATTACCCTTTAAGCATCATTGCATTCCTCACACTGAATTACTTTCTTTCAGCCTTTTATTCCTCTGTTCCAGCATTTTGTCTGTTCTTCTCGTCTCAGTCATCTACTTTGGTTCCCATGTGTTCATGGCAGACAGCTTCACTCCATCTGTACTGGCCATGGTTGGACAGAAACAGGCAAAAAATACTGTAGTAGTAGGCTAGATGAAATCTCAATAAGCATCCAGTATCCAAGGCTCTGCATTCCTTATATTTGTTTCAGACTTTTGAATGGAGAGACGTATATATGTATGTATGCATGTATGTATAGTTGCACAGTCAACAAATGCTACTGAATGTTTGTTGCAGGTCTACAGTTCTGAACTTGCTGGAAATGTCTTAAATACTCAGAAACAAAAGGCCCTCGTGATATGTTTTGTACTCTTTTGAGACCGATATCATAAATCCAGAATCCTATGTCTGTATGGAGTTTGTAAAAGACATAAGTGGGACTGCAGATATGAACTGGATAGGCGGAGAGAATGTTAAAGACTTGGCTGAAGGAATGTAAGCTTTGATTCTGCAGCATCCTTCATTGTCAGCGTCTGCAGTTACTGCCATAGATTGAGCATTTGACATGAAGGATTTAATTGGACATGATTTGCAAGCATGGTCTTGTAAATGCAGAGCGTTTCTGGTAAATGTCTGTTTTCTGCAATCTCCCATAAATCTGATGTGGTGATAGATGAAATGAAGCCTGCGAGGTGAAAGCTGAGAGCTCTGATGGTGGTTCTGAAGAATGGCCAGAAAGTTGCAAGCAAAGGTGTTGAAAAGAAAAGATGTTAAAACTTCCAGCCTCTCCTGGATACCACTCACATTATAGCATAACTATAATGTTATGATTGATGTCATAACATTATAGTGCAAAATATTAAACCAAGTGGCATTTATTTTTAGGACCTCAAGTGCACTTTTCAAGCAAAACGTTTCCCAAAAACAAGTTTGACAGATTATAAAACAGATATTCAGCATCAAGAATATAACATTTTCAAGAATATGTAACCTATTCTATGCAATGAACGACTCTGCTAGGTCACCTGTATGAACTTAAGGAGAACTGACAATTACTAAAAATCAGCTTCATAACACTTTGTTTACAAGTCATTGAAAATTGCTCAGAAAAGTGAAGCTAGTTGTAAAAAATACAATGAAATCCATCCATACAAAAAAAAATTAAAAATTTGGGACATCAACACAGTTTTGGGGAAAAAATGCGTGCCAAAGTGTGTCCTTGCTAGTTGTATGTCAGTTGAAGACAGATTCCAGTTCTGGGCCATATTATAGTGTGAAGTTGTTATGAGCCAATGTTTATGGAGCAAAATAACAAATACAACAAGTGACAGACTTATTGAGAGAAAGAGAGGTGATGAACTGTGGAGGGAAGATGGGTGAAAATTGCAGTAGGATGTCATAAGTAGATGAGAAAAAGAAAACTAAATATCAAGGGATTGTGAAGGTTGGTGACAGAACGAAAAAATGAGCAAGGGAGCATATTGATTCTGAAGCCTGATGCTGTTATTCGTGTTACATTAAATTGTCACAAATGCCATCATCAAGCATGTAACATTTCAAACAAGCATTGACGCCTGCTACTGTTTGCGTCACGTTCTGACCCCTTTAGCTAAACGCCACATGTAAACCAACACTGCAGACCTCCCCCATGGGCTGTCCGGTAGGGGTAACTCTAGCCAAATTTACCCCCTCTTAGCAGCTTGTCTTGGGTTCCCCATAGCGAGATCCCTGGCTGCGAATTACCAGCAGCAAACCGATAGGTCCACATACACCGCATCACCCAAATTAGAAAGCAGCAGGAAGGTATGCACTCCCCCAGTAGTTACCTTCTGAATCACACACACACGCGCGCTAGTTTGTTTGGTACATTACATAAGTAATCACTACAATACCCAGTGGGAAAATGCTTGCGCATACAAACCAATAAATAACACTTGGACAAAAACCCCTGTGTTCACCTGTGGTCGCCCTTGCATTCCTGCACACAAAAGCAAAACAAACAGCACACAAACCAACCCACACATGCTCCGATGTGCCCTCCAAGAGGAGGTGGCAAAGACAGAACTCTGAAAAGATATTTTTATTGGGGCAATCCCTCAAGCACACAGCATCCCTCCTTTTCTTCCGTCCCTCTTTGAGTCTCTCACTCCTTCCTCCCCTCCCTCCCTTTCCTCCTTGACTGTATAAATAAGTCCCAGCGTAATGTGCGTGGACTCAGAGAAACTGCCTCCAAACCTGAAGACACAAACTGTGGGATCACAGACATCAAAGCGAGACATCAACCACCAATCATAGTGAAACGCTCCAATCAGCCCCTCAAAGGCAACCCTTTACACAACTGAGAGAAAGTCAGTGGGAACGGAAGATTGAATAGGCTCAGGTGAGAGGTCATTAGTGGAATGCCAGTGAAGTGAGCGGCTCCGGTTACACTTGTGAGGTAAAAGGGAAAGAACAGATTAGTGCCGGAGCTAAAGAGGACAAGGCAGACAAGTGATCCACAAAAAGAGTAGATTCACCTTTGTGTAAACCTACTTCCTGGAGGTAGAGCATCAGATAAAGACAGAAAGAAGTTTCTAGGTATCTGTGGTCCACCTCAACATGTGGTTTTTGGCTGTGTTGTGGGCTTCCTGCCTGCTGATGGGCACCCATGCTCAAAGCAGCACTAGTTTTCGTCGGGCGAATGCCGGCAATGGTCGTTGCCAGTACACCTTCACGGTGGACAGCCCTACAGAAACCAGTTGTCCATCACCAGGTTCAAGTCCCGAGATGGAGGCCCTGAAATCTCGCCTGGGGCTGCTAGAGGCGCTGGTGGCCCGCCTCGTAGGAGGGGACACCTTGTCAGAGTCATCCCAGGGCTCTGGATCTCAGTCAGGCCTCCAGGATGCATACAACCAGGTGATGGGGGAGAATGCCCAGCTCCAGAGAGAGAAGCAAAGTCTGGACAGACAGGTTCAGGACCTGCAGCAGAGGATGGAAGAGCTCCGACAGGAGGCTGAGAGGTTGAGGAGCAGACCCTGCATGCAACAACCTCCTCCAAGAGTGCCGCAAAATGACAACAGCTTCAGACCAGGATCAGGTGAGTACTGACAACCAAGCAATTTGTTAAGATTCATCTCACACCAAATTGTCTTTTGGCAAAGGTTAGCCAAATGTTCACTACCTTATATATCTGTGATGTGCATTCCTAGAAACAATTAACAAAATGTATACAAAATAAGTACAAGACCTTGTCAAGGGGCAGTACCCTCAAATAGGCAACTTTGTGCCTTATTACACAGTGGTAACTTAAGGGTACATATTAGTACTCTAAGATGCTAAAATGTATTCTTTGGGGGAAAATAAGGTACAGAGGTGTCCCTTTGAAGGTATTGTCCCAGTGACAAGCTGTCGTACCCATAAAGATTCCATGTAAGCAAATTGGCATGGTAGGTTCACTGGCACCATAGAAAAGACTCACAACGGTTTATGTGTACATTTCCATAGTTATACCTGCCTGGAAGTGTGAGTCATATTTCGGGTGGTATGGGTGAGCAGGTCATTGTGTTCATTTCAAAGCAGGAGGAAACAGTATAGATAGAGCAGAGTTGAACTAAGCGACTCCCTGTCATTGAAAGAGACGCGAGAGACTGAGAGAGACATGAGGGTGTTGGGGGCAAGCTTCTAAAGCAGTAAAACATAAGTACTGTGTTAATACTCAGCAATAAACTCTGCTCCCAGCAGACCGCTGACTGATGCTGCGTGAGGAGGGGTGGAGGTCAGGGGTAACTGATCCCTACTGGGGTTGTTAGTGTAAGTGTTGGTACCTTAAAACGGTTAAACTTTACTGACATATTCTTTTAACAAAAATAATATTTAAGCAAGCAACCAAGTTGCTATTCTGTACTATAGCATGATGTAGAGTAGGATACCACAGTTCTATAAACAAAGTTAATATTGAGCAACTTACATGTTAGACACAATTTGGTCATTTTTTCCCAAATGAATTGTATTTTTTAAAGGTTTTTCTCCCCACCAGCTTCTCTTTTCCATGTTCTGCCATATTTGACATCTGTTCTGCTTCTCACACTGACACCGGTGATCAGCACCACAGCTCCTCACATCTGCACCATACATCATGTAAAATACAACAACAACTGACAGTGTTTAATAAGACAGAGGACAGAAGCAATGGACTGTGGAGACCCTCTGTGGAAGACAGATTCCGGCTCTTTGAGATTGAAAAGAACACAGGCCATCTGTCTTGCACATCCTCACCCTCTTGGATTCAGTGTTTTGCTTGTAGGTTCACAGTCCCTTTAGCACCCTAAATATCCTACCATGCAAATGTAAACTCTCAGAAAGGGGCTGAACAAACAGTAATTTACCAGCGAGTATAAAAGCTTTATTTACATTGGCTAATAGCAAGGTTTAAAGGTGCCCTTAATACTTGTTTATGTTGCTCTGGCTGATGGCAGTCATCTTGGGCTGACACTTAGCAGCGTGATGTGAATGTCATGCAAAAGCAAAGATTTTCAGGTACTGATGCCATTGTAGAAATGCACATTTTAATTTAGTATTAGGGTACTGATGACTGCAATCTTTATCTAATGTGAATGTGAATGTCAAAAGTATTGTTTATTTCAGTGTAAAACATTTTAATGAGGAAAAATGACTGAGCAGTAAAGCTGAACATGCAAACAGTCCTTGCAATAAAAAAAGAGATCAGGAACCTTGTGCCATTTAGCCATATGGATATTGTCAGTGTCACCTCATTGAGTACGAACATATAAATGTGTAATCTTGATGTCTTGCCTCTGGAGATTGAACTGTTTTGGAAATTTTCACTCAGATGTTTTAAGTGAAAGGAATTCTCATTTAGAATTATAATAAGTGTTGGCATCTGCTTCACAGACTAGAGTTGCAAAACCCAAAAGCATTCAAACAATACAAAAAAAAAAAAAAACTCCAGTCTTCAAGATGTTAGATGGGAAGGCTCTTGCAAATAAATTAGCCTGCAACACGCTACCAGCTGGTCTAGAGGGTTCTTGAAGATCTGCTTGATCTCTCCGGGAACCATTAGGCACGTTATACAGATAAGCACAAACACCTGCAAACAAACCTTGGGAATTACATGCTTTTGTTGTCTAGTAGTGACGCATAGATCCTGTGTCCATGAGCATGTGTTGATTATAGGGATAAAGGACAGTAACTACAGACCCTCCCACTGCAGGTCTGAGCAGGCTATCATCGGCAGAAGCACCAGTCGGAGTCCTTTTTAACTCTTGTCACAGCAATCAATCAAAGTCAGCTTCCAGATGTTCATGTCTCAAAGTGTAACATTATAAAAGCCTGTAAACATGTTAGCACATGATCAGACAATGATAATGTGGCACCATAGTTTGTCATAGGGCTTAACAGAAACGATTTAGTCCTTGGGCAATTTAAGTGACAAAATGAAGGGAGTGGGGATAATGTGAGTTGTTCAGGTCCTCTCTGCATTTTTATTGGGACCAAACAAAACTATATACAAATTTCCAACAAGGTTTTCTCAACCATCTTCCACTGTTTGGTATTTCTGCATCAGAAAATGACACACGTTGGCTTTAAAAATTGACTTTGCTTTTGTTTGAGATTGCTAACCAGGGTGTGTGAATGCGCACCCTGCTGTGCACGTCTGAGTTTCGGATGTGTAATGGGAGGTCTGGAGTCTTTCAGGCTCTGGGACAGCTGGGAATCTACTCAGGCCTGTTTATTTCCTTCTGTTAGATTCCTGACTGTCAGTAGAGCTGCCAGTCCCCCAAAACCGTGCAACATACCTCTCTCATGCAACTCAGGATCAATACCAAGCCCTACTCAACTTGTTTAGATTTCTGTCATGGCACTCTGGGATACTGGTGGATCTCAGTTGAGAGTCGATTATCTCTTTTTGACCATCTATCTTAACATTATCTGGTTACTCTAGACTGCAATTAAGGGACCGTAAACATCCCCAGACCATAACAGCATCATGTGCCTTTGCCTTTTAGGACCTGCACTCTCCCACCTGGTATCAAGGCCTGTGAATACACGAGGAGACAAAAGCAGTTTAAGAGGTATGGGGTAACAAGGGTATATTTACACTAGCAGAAAACAAACTGCACCATCATAATAGATGAATCCACGTCCATGCTGCACAATGGAAATAGTCTTCCAAACAAGAGTTCTTTGATATTCTGACTGCAATGTCATGGTCACTAGTTGCCATTCTTATAGTGAAGGCTTGGCAAATGTAAACCTTCACAAGCACGTCTCAATCAGAGTATGTGAATTTCTGTCCTCATGCTCTCCTAGATTCTGCATGGCATTACAAGAATCCTGGATACCAGGAGCTGACGGCGGTAGTCACTGAGGTTTCTGCCCCAAATCTGGAAGGTCCAACGGACATCTCAGGTGAGAGTCACACCCTAACTCTAGCCTTTCACTCAAAAGTGACAATCTAGTAAATGTCTTCCGACACTGTCAAAGCATGCTGATATATATATATATATATAAATACATCATGCTCCTACATCTCAGCTGCCTGAAAAAATTACACCATGCACATAGTATTCATTCCTGCTGACAGCACTAACACAAATACTGCTATTTTTACCAATTAATTTGCGTCTAAAATAATGTTTACGAAGGCGCCAAAATGGTAATGTGAATCACTTGATAGGACCATGTTTCTAAACAAAGACATCAAGGTTTGGGTTGTTCCCAGGAAGTCCTTTGAATTCTGCCAACCATCCCTTCCCCCAGTACCTCTCTCTTACAGGGCATTTTAGGAAAGGGTAAGTTATGCTTCTAATCTTTTACACTCAAAGGAATGGTAGGACAAGGTGTCCTCTCTTCCACCTTTAGCCATATTTAGCAGATTTTGGTTCAACGGGGTCTCCTTTCAACCCGTCACTGGCTCCATGTGCAATCTGAAATTGATGTTTCCTCAAAATCATTTGGTTTTCCAACAATTGTCCAATCTCTTGATTTTTCAGGCTGTGGTGATCTGGTGTGGGTCCAGGAGCCTGAGGTGCACCGCAAGGCTGACAGCATTGCTGGTAAATACGGTGTCTGGATGCAAGACCCAGAAGCTAAAGAACCTTATGGTCCAGAGATGGTATGGCGCATCATCTTCACATTAAATCATTTATATTTTTGCATCCGTCCATGATAAATATGCTAAATGCTATAAAATATATTCCTTTGACTAACAAATTCCAAAATAGATAATCTAATCATATCAGGTTTTTAATAAATTGAGGCTACATTTATGTCATGGCGCATTGATGCTGTAGGGTCTGAAGTTCGTCAACTCTTCGGGTATGAAAACATGGACCAGCTGTCACGGGGCTTTCCCACTAAAGTCCTCCTCTTGCCAGAATCTATGGTGAGCACGGGTGCCACAATGTACAGAGGCTCCTTGTACTACCAACGAAGGCTCAGCCGCACCCTTCTAAGATACGATCTACAATCAGAGAGCATTGCTGCCCGCCGTGATCTTCCCCATGCTGGCTTTCATGGTCAGTTCCCCTACTCCTGGGGAGGCTACACAGACATTGACCTGGCAGTAGATGAGAATGGTCTATGGGCCATATACAGCACCAACAAAGCCAAGGGTGCTATTATGATCTCCCAGCTGGACCCTCACAACCTGGAGGTGAAGGGCACCTGGGAGACTAAAATCCGCAAGACATCCGTGGCCAATGCTTTTATGATCTGTGGCAATCTGTATACGGTAGCTAGTTACACCTCGCCAAACACCACCATAAATTACATGTATGACACTGCAACCAGCCTGGATAAAACAATCTCAGTGCCGTTCAAAAACCGCTATCGCTACAACAGCATGGTAGACTATAACCCAGCACAGAGAAAGCTATATGCTTGGGATAACTATTACATGGTATCTTATAATGTGAGACTAGGCAAGCAGGAGTAAAGTGAAGACATCAGCATAAATTTCCATATCACCTAGCTTATAGACTCGTTTTGTAATGTTTTAATATTAACATCCAGAGGGACAGCTATTGTTGGATTTACTGGAATTCAAAGACAATCATAGACAACTGGACAAGAATCAACTAGAAGTATGCTGATGACATTAATAATAGCGCCAGCAGTAGGTATGTATATATATAATGAATACAGCAAATATAAAAATTTCCTGATAATATTCAAGCACAATGACTTCTATATAAGCTGTTATTTTTAAGACAACAGTTAAAGACAGTAAGCATACCAGTGACTACATTGTATAGCTTCACATTAAGAAATCATTTATATTTTTGCATCCATCCATGATAAATATGCTAAATGCTATAAAATATATTCCTTTGACTAACAAATTCCAAAATAGATAATTTATCTAATCATATCAGGTTTTTAATAAATTGAGGCTACATTTATGTCCTCTGTGATTTTGTCCACTTAACATGTTAATAGAGAAATTATTTTTCTACCTTTGTAAGTAACTTCTCTTCTTTTTTTTGTTTACGGCACTGAATAAATTCAAGGAAGGAGGAAAATATAATGGCATACAATTCATTACAGTAAGCCTGCCTCTTGATTGATACATTGTACAGAGTTGTGTACATGCTCTAACCCTTACGTAATTATGCTATCGTAACTCTGTATAAGTTAAATATTTTCCGTTTTCTCTTTTGAATTTGCCTCGAGACTTGTGTGCAGCTTGAGATGTTAAGATTGGAATCTTGTGGCTATGGAAGTGTATTAACTTATATGAAAATAAAGATCCTCTGTGATTTTGTCCACTTAACATGTTAATAGAGAAATTATTTTTCTACCTTTGTAAGTAACTTCTCTTCTTTTTTTTGTTTACGGCACTGAATAAATTCAAGGAAGGGGGAAAATATAATGGCATACAATTCATTACAGTAAGCCTGCCTCTTGATTGATACATTGTACAGAGTTGTGTACATGCTTTAATCCTTACGTAATTATGCTATCGTAACTCTGTATAAGTTAAATATTTTCCGTTTTCTCTTTTGAATTTGCCTCAAGACTTGTGTGCAGCTTGAGATGTTAAGATTGGAATCTTGTGGCTATGGAAGTGTATTAACTTATATGAAAATAAAGATTAAAAAAAGTCAGCTTTTCATTTGCTTTCTTTTTTTTGTTTTGTATGCATGCACAGAGATATATTAATGAATTCATAACCTCAAAACACCCCCCAAAAAACTGACATCAAAACCACAGCTCATTTTTACAGCATATTATTTTATTAGTTTCTGTAACCAAACCAGGAGAATGTAAATAAGACCCCCTCCCCTGGCACTCGGCCTTTCAGTCCATCCTTCCATCCATCTGTCCTTCCTGAAGCAGTAACGACTATTTGCTCTCTTCTGGTTTGATGGCCTGTGGTTTGATCGGACCCGTCCGGATGGGTTTGGTTGTTGCAGATTTGTCGGACTCTGCACGGTCTGATGGCACCCCCTGGTGATTTGAAGTGATGATGTCAGTGGGTTTGCCTGCTCCTTCTATACGGGTTGGCTTGCTGACTGGAGCCTTGAGCTGTTGTTGCTCAGAGAAGAACTTGTGGGTAGACTGTAATACCTCTGCTCTTTGTTTAGCCTGAGAGAGAGAAAGATGAACATTTAAAGCCAAAACAGAAAATGACCTCATATACCACCTCTAAAGTAGTGCTTCTCAAATTTTTGTGACTCCAAGGCCCCCCCATTGCCCACAAAAATGTTCAAAGGTCCTATTACTGGATACCAGTGTTAATTTTGACAGCAAATTTTGACTTCGTTTTAGTCAGTCTTTTGACTAAAATGCCATTTAGTTTGTCATATTTTAGTCATCTGAATTGTTTTTAGTGTTAGTCTAGTTTTAGTCGACTAAATATCATAAGATTTTAGTCGACTAAATCTACAGTAAATTTTGTCTGCTAAAATCGAATGGGTTTAGTTACAGCGCATTTATTAAGTATTTCTCTAAAATTTCCAAACTCATTATATAGGTTTGATACTAAGGTCTTATCATGATAGACACTGATTTAACTGCGGTGACGCACAACATGCCTTCATGTTCAAATTGAATAAAACCACTTCTCATAAAGAAGAACATGGTCTTCTTTTTAATGAAATACCAATGGTTATATATAGGCTAATTATGCAACTTGTTTACCATATTCTTCACTCTTTCAAGCAGACATTTATTTCTATAAATAAATTTAGATGAATCTTTAGGGCTACTAAAGTTTTTCAGTCAAGAGCAGTGAGTGATTTTCTGT